TCCCATCCTGGTGTCAGTATGTGAAAACAGGTCCTGTTTGTCACTAGCAGTGTAAATCTGTATCCTGCCTTTTAGACGGCAATGTGGCATGACCTATCCACATTGTAAGTGTGTGCTTCTTTTGAGAGTCATTCCAGGTCTAGGAACTTTGTCTCATTGGAATACATGTAATGTTTATTGCAGAATCTTAAAAATCATGACAATAGGATTTCTGGGTCCTGGGGGGGCATACTGATTAAGTTGATATTTAATATAATACTGAAGTTTACAGTTGGTAGGAAGGGTTTAAGCTCCATGTACACTTCTGTAAAGAGCTGTCCCCAGTTACTACATGAAATGTCATTTGGAGAACCTCACATATGTACTGATCTTATAGTCAGAGCCAACAGGGATATCGAGCACACAGATACATGTGAGCATGTATGTGTGCACATACCACGTTCAGTTACATGCTGGTCTGTTTTTTCTTCAACACATTTTTTTTCCTAGCTTTTTCCTTTTTGGTACTGGAAATTTAATCCATGGAAGCTTTCGCACTGAACTCTGATGTTTCCAGCCCTTTGGTTTTGAGACAAGGTCTCCCTAAGTTGTTGAGGCTGGCCTGGAACTTGGGTCCTCAGCCTCCGCGCAGGCTTTTCCGAGGCCTCCTCCTCTTCAGTGTTCCTGTTCTGGTGAGCGGCAGTCACACACACCTGCGGCCAAGCCAACCAGACGTCTCACTGTTTCACTGGAGAAGGGACGGAGCGGGGCCAGCATGACTCCTTATGAACTGCCGGTCCACAGGAGTGCCTGCCATCAGCCAGGAGTCACGGCCACTGGCTCGGACGCCCACTGTGCCAGCTCTTACTGTGTAGGGTCACTCCTGGGCTGCAAGGGCTTGGACTCAGGCACCCGTTGGCAGCACCTGAAGGTCCCTGCATTTGTCACTGGGGCCCTGCCTTCTCACACCCTGGTTTTTTACTTCTTTAAATCTTTAAGCCATTTGTATTCTTCTAATATTTAATTTCTAACTTTACATTAAATTCAGGTTCTATTGTTCTCAAAGAAAGCTAGATAATACAGAAGCTGATAATAGAGAATGATTATCAGGCTATAAAGAAGCAGAGTGTAGATCAAGAGACAGAAATTGGTCCTGAACTTGTGATCCTCCTGTCTCAGCCCTGAGTAGCTAGAATACAAGTGCATGCCATTGTGCCCAGCTGCATCCCCAGGCCTTTGTGTTTTGAGACAGGGTCTTGCTAAGTCACTGAGGGTCTCACTAAGTTGCCCAGCTGGTCTTGAACTTGCGATCCTTCAGTCTCTGTCTCCTTAGTCCCCGGGATTCATGCATGTGGTACCATGCATGAGTGGGAAAGGATATTTCTTACATAGCAGGATCATAAGTTCATTGTGCATTAGGGACTGAAAGGCACCTACCCAAAACTGAAAGTGATGTGAGGGATGCTACTTCCAAAATTGTTGTGATAACTTGTTTTATAATGAAATCATATAATTAAAAGTCACAGCTCAAGGCTGCTTGAAATTCTGACCATAAGAAACTGAAGCCAGACCTTTATGTCTATGCTGGGAAACGTCTCTGTTTCCAACCATGGCTTCCCTCTGAAAACCAGACCCGTCAGCAGGTGCCTTTGGCTGCTGAGCTATGATGATGGATTCCCAGTGCCATCTCCATTATGTCATGCAATAAGGCTATCAAGAACGACTTCAGGGGCTGGGGTGTAGCTCAGTGGCAGAGTGCTCACCTAGCATGTGTGGGGCCCTGGGTTCCATCCTCAGCACCACACAAAGATAAGTAAGTAAAGGTATTATGTCCATCTACAACTAAAAGGTATTAAAAAAAAATGACTCAAGGATCTTAGAAAACTGTGACCCTCCCCATCCTTAAGAAACCTACTAGTTAATTCTTACCTTCTCCCGTTTTGACTGAAAACTTAATTGTCCCTCAACAATATTGCTGGGATGGTAGCCCAAAACCAGAATTCAATATGACCTATAATGTGGAATACAGAAAAAAATTAATATCCAGATATATCTACTATCCTTATTTACTATCCTTTACCAGTCATACCATCAGAAATGTAGGATCATTTCTCAAAGTGTATTTAAAGTTATAAATTACTCTGCACAATATCAGGGACCTGAGGGACTTGAAGGCTTTACCAGGCTGGAGGGGCCATGTCAGCCCTGAATGTCAGTTGCAGCGAGGCCAGCAGCCTCCCCGTCCATCCTGGGGCTGAGGAGCACCAGCATGTGAGGCACGGTCTCCTCCTCGGACATGGAGTCTCCCCTTCCTGTGAGACGCTGCTTTTGTGTCAGCAGCTGGATGACAGGGTGGCAGGTAACTGCAAGAAGATGGTGGAGTGGTCATGATAAATCTGGTATTTGCCCTCCATTGAGCATGTGTGAGGCACTGGGTTCCAACCCAGCAGGAGAACAGGACTACTCCAGGGCAGGGCACTCGGTCTCACCTGTGCTCAGGAGTCACTGGCCGCGGGCTTGGCACTTGGGGAGGGCTTGTGGAGCAGTCCTTACTGGAGGGTACCTGACACCAGATGCATGGAGGTCCCCAGGTCACAGGTGGGTTTTGCTAAGGGTATCTATGATGTGACTAGAGGATCACAAGTCTGTGCTTCCTTTTCTGTTGTCCCGAGTTGGCTCCGGGTTGTGACTGCCTGGCATATCCTGTTCCCTGCCCACACTTGCTTCTAGGTGTGGCTATAAACTTTCTTTCCTGGGAATAGAAGTGACATGTTAGTTGGGACCTGGTTACTGAAGACAGGAATGTTCTGTCCCACTGGGAGAACACTCTATCTTATATAATGACAAAGCTGAAAGATGGGAGACCTCCGGGTCTCTAAACCAAAATTTGGAGGAGAGCGGTTGCTCACCTAAGACCACCAGCAATGGATTATCATGAGAAAAAACTTATATTGTGGTAAGGTATTGATATTTGGGCTTCAATTGTAATAGCAGTTACTGTAATTCTAATCAATATGGTGTTTGACAACTGACTTTCTATTTTAATTCACCAAGTCATAGAAGAAGAGCTGTGACGGTGTTATCTACTGTTCCTAAAAGAGATTACCTCTGAGTGGCTCAGAGAGACAGCTGTTGACCATCCCAGTTCTCCCCCTAGGGAATCCAGGCAGAGCTGAGCTGGGAACCTCGAGTCCCGGGTCTTTTCCAAAGCTGTGGTCATGCTGTCGGCCAGGGACGCAGTTATCTGAAGGCTTCATTAGAGGAGAATCGGCTTCCAAACTCCCTAACTGTTGGCGGGCCTCAGTTCCCTCTGGCTTTGGGTTGGACGGTTCCTTTCCATGTGCGACCCTTTACAGGGCAGCTCCTAACATGGTAAATGGTGTCCTTGCAAGAGATGGGCAGGAGGAGAGGTGGGCAGGAGGAGGGGGCCCCGATGTAAGCTGGGGTCTTTCTGAACTCTGGATCAGAGGGGCAACCCCTCTCCTCTGCATCTGCTGCCTGGATGGAAAGGAATGCCCAGTGCAGGGGGAGGGCGGCCCAGCGGTGTGACCGGTGTGACCATCGGGCGGCAGCGATGGTTGGGAACCCAGGGCGCGCAGCCCGGCGCGTCCTGCGGGCCGGAGCTACCCTCGCCGCGGCCTCAGGTCAGGCTGAGGGCGGTGTCCTCGGGTCGACCTCTCGGCCAGCTCGGCAGAGCCGTGGCCAGGCAGAGGTCGGGGACGCCGGCAGGGGTCTCGGCCGGCGGTGCGGCTCCCAGGCCTCCGCCGCAGGGCGCTCAACACCCGTCCCGCTCCGCCTGCTGACGCCGCGCTAGCGACGAGCGGGCTGCGCAGCGGGCCCGGCCGGGGAAGGCAGCCCGTGCCTCGGGGCGCTCGCTGGGAGGCCGGGCAGTGCCGGGTCGTCCTCCGCCCGCGGACCCCGTCCGAGCACAGGGCTGGTGGGCAGGAAATCAAACGCCCACCAGGAAATCTCAGTGCTGGCGGGCGCCCGGAAGTCAGGCGCGCAGCCCAGGCGTCCAGCTCCCCGCCCGTCGGGAGGAGAGCCCCCCGCCGGTCGGGCGGAGACCCCGCGAGCGCCTGTGTCCTGGCCCCGGCCCGAGAAGCGCAGCCCCTCCATCCGGCCCACCCGGCGCGCAGCACACAGGCGCCCGGCTTCCCCACTTCCGGCCGCCTCCTCCGAGACCACACTTCCCAGGGCTCCAAGCGGCAGGACACACGCACTTCCGGCCGCGACTGGAAGTCTCCGGTCCGGGGGCTGAGCGAGTCTGGCGCGGTGGCCGGTCCGGGCCGTGGGGAGGGGCCGAGCGGGAGGTGGGAGCTGTCGGCGGGGCTCCGGGAGGGGTCGCCCCGGGTGCCCTGCGTAGTCCCTGTGGGCCGGAGCCTGAGGCCCTGGAAGGCGTCGCGAGGGGTTGCGGCCGCGGCCTTTCCGGCCTTTCGGGCTCGCCCGCCTGACGGAGGGGCGGCGCAGGACGCGCCCCCACGCCGCGGAGACCCTGGGAACTCGCCGGAGCTGAGAGACGGTGGGTTGGGTGCGCCCGAAAGAGTGGAAATGGAGGCCTGGGTGCTGTCCTTTGGGGTCCGAGTACTGGAGGAGGCTGTCCCTGGCCTCCAGGGCTGGTGGATGCCGGAGTCCGCGGGGTTGGTGGGTCACCTTGGTCCAGAGCGTGGAGCGAGTTCAGAAGGGGAGCGTGACTCGCAGCGTCACCTCACCAGGTGTGCCCCCCAGTTCAGGTCGTGGGCCCAGGGCGCCAACACGAGAATGCTCCCCGTTACCGGCGTCCTCCGGGTCCTCTAGCGCCACCCTGTCAGCCCTTAGGATTTTCCTTCCGGGGTCCTTGTCCCGTCCACCAGGGAATTGGTCTGCGGAGGGACGCAGGGTTCGCACTTCACCTCGAAATGCGGAGCGATTCCGTCTCGTCCATGGCGTAGTCACGTTCGAGTCAGTGCCAGAGACTCTTCCCATCCTTCAGACTTCCTCTGTCACTGTCTCCAGGTCATTAAAGAGGGGGACAAATTGCTGCCCCTAGCCACCTAGCCCTTGTTCTTTGCTTGCTTTCCGCCGCGGGGTTAGAATGGCTCACCTTTGATGAGTGCCTCTGTGCCAGACCTTGTTGAAGACCTCTGGGAGTGTTAACAGCAAAGGCACGACTTTATAAAGTGGGGACCACCTGTCCTGTTACAGATGAGGATGAGAAGATAAGTAATCACTAATAAGTTGAAGAACCAGGATTCAGATCCAGGACAGGCTGACTCCAGAGCCCCTTCTAGGATTTTTTTTCTTTCCTCTGGGGTGCTGGGGTTTGAACCCAGGGCCTTGCATATGCTAGCACAGGCTCCTCCACTGAGCTCCACTCCCAGCCCTCCAGAGCCCCTTCTGTACTGTCCCTCAGTAACTGTCTGCAGTAGGTATTCCCAGCCACTTTTGACAACTGCAGAAACAATTGAGACTGGAAATAATTTTTAAGAGTTCAGATCTTCAAACTTCCACTAAGTGAGTTTGGAGATTTATTAAACTTTATGGTTCTAAGTAAGAGTTCATTCTTATTATCATCATTATAATATCCTTTTAGAAGGCAATTAAATTTTGGGGAAAGAAGCCAGAATTCATTTAGATACTGTCCTCTTCCTGATTAAAAGAATGGCTAAGGTTATCGAGGAACTTCATCAAAGCTGCAGTTTGCCTCAAAAGCAAAACGAGAACTTAGGTCTCATGACAGTTTTGTTGGAACAGTTTTCTGCACTCAAGGATGTTTTGTCACATGAAAGGTAAGGCCTCTCTCTGGGAACAGTGGCATTCTCCAAGGGATTCATCATGTAGAATCTGGACAAATCCTGGTTTCTTGCAAGAGGGCATATTTTCTGGTGTCAAGCAATTAATTTGTGTGGTAGAGTCAGGAAGACTTAGGTTGTTGACTGATTCTTACTAATTATGAGCTGTGTAACTACATAAAAGCTCTCACTTGCCCAGAGACTTCCTTTGTAAAATGGTGACAATATCCTCTACTTTGATGATTGTGGAGATTAAAAGAGATGATTCATATATGTAGCATACCTCATAAATCTCTGTTAGTGAATAGGTGGCTGAGAGAGAGAGGCACGAAGAGGGACTGGCTGTGTTCAACCTGAAAACCTAGAGCAGAGGGGAACCCTAGTTGTAGGCTACAAATTCCCCTGTGGGTATCTGGTCTGTGGAGATGGAGTGGGGATGGGGGCAAAAGCAAATGCGGCTGAAGGTAAGGGAAGGTTTCTACGCTGTGATTCCTAGTGCTACTTGGTCTCTCACAACTCTCTCCTCTTTCAGCTCTGTGCTTGAGGCAAGGCCCTTTTCCAAATAAAGAGCCAGCAAGAAGTGGAGGTGACAAGAACTGAACTTGTTAAAGCCATGTGCCCGGTGAGTTAATGTTCCCTTTCTCCCCACTAAAGTCTCACTTTTCCTGATTTTGTTCAGTTTTTTTTTTTCTGAAACTTGTCTATTTAAGAGTTCCAGGCAGGCATGGTGGTGCACACCTATAATCCCAGCAACTAGGAGGCTGAGGCAGGAGGAATGCAAGTTCAAGAGCAGCTTGAGCAACTTAGTGAGGCCCTATCAAAAACAAACAAACAAAAAACAGTTTCACCTTGGGGCCTGTTTCCCATTTCTTGCATTTCTGGTGAATGCTGAGACTTCAGGGGTAGACTCAAAGGGTCCAGTGGACTCTCAGAGGTTCTTCCTCGTCTTCCTCCTTGGTGTTTATGTTTTCCATTCAAGAAATGACCAAGTGTAAGCCCTTTCTTTGTACTTAGTCTTTCTTTAGGCATCCGACGAAGCAAAAGAACAGTCCTAAGGAAATTTTTAAGAGCCACTGTGCTGGGCTCCTAAGTCTCTGTTGTGGCTCCCCAAGAACTTGTAGTTTCTTAGAGAAATGGAAAGGCAGCAGACACATATGATGTGATAATGTTGTGGAGTGGTGGGAGGGCCGCTGATACCCCCACGGTGCTTCCAGGGAGAATGGGAGGAAAGGGGCCCCTTCCTGGACTGGTGAGGACCACACCCTCTGTCAAGAGGGCTCTTCTCACTCTAGCTCTTACCTCTGCAGAGGGATCCTTGTGTGGGATGTGACTTGCGGTCCTGCTCATGCCCAGAAGGGAAGGGTTGGGAGGATGTGGCAGAGGAAGGGTTCCTGAGTCTCATCTTGAAGGCAGCAGAGGAGATCTACAGTCACAGGTGGGATGCAGGTTCCCCTCCCACCTGACTGTGCAGCCTGGGTCATCTTAAAATGCCAGGGAAAACTCTACATCCTCCTTTCTCTCTAGGGTAAACACCACAATCTATAATCAGCCAGTTGTTGTTCCATTGGTAAATTATGGTCAGCGTTTTGCTGTTTAATTGTGTTACAGTGATTACTCTTGTGGTTGAATTTTTGCTCTCATTTCTGATTGTTTTCTTTGACTAAATTTCTAGTTTTTTATTGTTTGTAGATTAGAGTTCTTAAACTTACTTTACTTTCATATTATTTTTATTATTAACATTTTTATGACCAGTAGAAGCTTAAACTTAAGTTTAATATAAATTAAACTTAATTTATATTCTGAATAAACTGATAGTTCCATCAGCAAATTGATTATTATTATTTTTACAAGTCTGGCACCAGAGATTAGGACTTTCAATTTGTTCTAATGTCACTGGAGCAAAAATCATAAAACATTTTGCTTTCCTTTACAACCTCCTTGCCACAGTCTGGCTGGGCACAATCAGGAGCCACTTGTCAAAAGAAACTAACTTTATTTTTAGAACCACACAAGCCAAACAAAACAGCCTCTCAGGAAAAACCCTCAGAGCCTCAACTGCCACCACCGGCTTTCCACAAGCCTCTCTCTCCCACTCAAGCTTCTCTCCACCTCCCACAATCCTCCTGCTCTTGAGGCCGATTGGCTGGGTCACGTGGGCGGAGCCAAAAAAGTCCCCCAATGAGCAGCTCCGTGGTCTGAAAGGGCAGGGAAACAGCCCAATGAGCATCACCGCAGAGGAGCCAATCAGCTAGATGTTGCTGGGGCCGCTGTGAGCCAATCATCAGCGGGCAGCTGGAAGTTTGCTGGGGCCCCTTCGGCTGTGGCTCTCAACACTCCTAATACAAAAATAAAACAAAAAACTATTTGTAGGGAAAAAAACAGTTTTGTGTGTGAGATGAAACAACATAAATTCAAAACTTACAGATAAGGGTAAGCTGTATCAGTCATCTCTTTAAAAAGTTCATGTGAACATCCTGTCATATCCAACAGGGTACCTCCTTTTGAAATGTCATCTGTGTGGATTTCCAAGCAGACCATAGGACTGTGCACTGTCTTAGAAGGTCGTCAGAGGGCTCTGTCATTCGGAGTTAAAAACCCCAGAGTCCTTTCTTTCAAATGGAAGAGGGACAGAAGAAACTGTTCAAACTCTGTCTTCTTTCCTTGTGGCTTGTGGTCTCCTCCTCCCCCTGTCTCCTTGGCCACCAACCCTGCCTCAGAAGCCTCTTCTGCTTCTACCATGACCCCCAAGGCCACCTTTCCCTCTAGGCATGGCCCAGTCCAAGGTAACTTTGTGTCCATCAATTTCCCATCTTCCACAGCCTCGTTGGCGGCTTTGGCATCCTCTTCACTGTTGAAGTCTACAAAACCAAACTCTTTGGAGGACCCAGTTTCCTGGTCATTGACTATCCTTGCAGGAATAGAGCAGTCAAATGATTCCTTTAAGGCTTCTTGGGTGGTATCCTCAGGCCAACCTTTGACAGCATTTTCAATGTCTGGCTTCCTGCATTAGGCCATTCTCTGGTCCTTGCAACTCCAGCCTGATTACAGTACCCTCAATTTCCCTTTTATTACAAGAATTTAAAGCTTCTGTTGCATCTTCAAATGAAGCAAACTCTACAAATGCATACACTTTAGATTTGCCGTTTTGGTTCTTGGGTACTTTGATAAAAGTTGCCTTCTCAAACACTTCCTGAAGAGTTTCTTCTGTTGCAGAGTAAAAGAGGTTGCTTAAAACCAGAGTTTTGATCACCACTCCAGGTGGTGTTCTTTCCATCTCTGTAGTCTTAATTTTGATCTTTCTCTTCCAGTTTAGTAGAGGGAAGCAAATTGCCTGTCCATCGCTGTCCCCTGCTTGGCTTTCAAGGTTTTTTTCTGCATCACCTTCTGTTAAATTCCATGTGAGCAGTCCCTCTCCTTTCCCCATCCTTGCTGACTGATCCTATCCTCATGGCCTCTTCAAACACTTCTTTTGATTCAATCTGAGTGACTTTGTAAGGGAGATTTTTGGTCAAAAGTGTTCTTGCATCTTGATCTTTCTCACTGTCTTTTCCTTTTGGTTTCTCTGGTTTAATTTTAAGCAAATTGATTATTATAAGAAATCATCAAATTTATAAACTTAGAAAATCAATCAAATAAAAATAATTTGGAATCGTTCAATTATTTTTATTTTATTTTATTTATGTATTTGTGTGTGTGGGGGGGTGGTGCTGAGGATTGAATTCAGGACCTTGTGCATGGAAGGCAAGCACTCTACCAACTGAGCTATATCCTCAGCCCTCCATTGTTTTTATTTTATACCAAAGACATAATGAGTGACTCCTGGTAATAGCATGACAGTTTTTCTTAGGTACAATGCCCCAAAAGGTACACTGCCATTGGGACTTGTTCCTTGGAGCATTTAAATACATCCATATTTCTTTCTTTAATTCCTTTCTTCCTTCCTTTATTTATTTATTTAGCAGTACTAGGGATTGAACCCAGGGACACTCTTACCAGTGAGCCATATTCCAGCCATTTTTTAGTTTTTATTCTGAGTCAGAGTCTTGCTAAATTTTTGAGGCTGGCCTCAAATTTGTGATACTCCTGCCTCAGCCTCCTGAATCACAGGGATTATAGGGGTGTGCCACTGTGCCCAGCTAAATATTTTAAACAACATTGTTGTTCATTATCAGGGAAAAATAAAATTTTTTTTTGTGGTGCTGGGGATTGAACCCAGGGCCTTGTGCATGCAAGGCAAGCACCCTATCAACCGACCCAGGGAAAAACATTTTAAGAGTGGCATAAAGGTTTGTAATGTGGACTCTGGAACCAGACTGCCTGGGTATGAATTCTAACTGCACTAAATGCTAAGTATGTCGCATTAATTTCAGTTGTTTAATTTCAGTCTTCTCAAGTATACAATGTGCGTGGGCTCTCTCTTGTCCAGCGAGAAGTTCCACAGAACAGGGTAGAGGAGAGTGTGGTTGCAAAGTTGCTAATCAAGACCTCCAGAGACCAAGCAGGAAGCAGGTCTGATTTTATTGCACAGTTACCATGCACATATATTCGGGAAGTAGCTAGGCAGATTACAGGCAGCCACCCATGCAATTTCTGCTAACTGTCTTTGCAGTGACCAATTGAGGAGTGGGCCATGGAGCAAGCACAGGGACTGCAACACAGGGCCTCACAAGGTAAGCAGTTTGCTGCTCAGGCACCTAGCAGGAGGGGAGTGGCCTGCCACTCAGACACCTTAATATGCCATGTATGCAGTCCTCCATGCACTTGTCCTTGCAAAAATGGAAATAGTAATTGTATCTGATTATAGGGTTGTTGTGAGGATTAACGAGCTAATATGTTTTAAGTGCTTATAAAAGTACTTGGTATATGGTAAATACTATGAACATTACCTAAAGAAGGCATCATTTGATTATTGTTGAAGAACTAAGTTCTTTGTGCACATGACACTTGTACATGTATGTGTAAGTTGAACTTATGTTGAAACACAAACCTAGAGAAGGTTGGTTGGAACTTGTAGCCAAAACAAAATGTCAACATTCTTCACAGTACTTAAAAAAAAAAAAAAAAAAAGTCTCATAACATCATATCCAAAGGCTGGGGCTGTGGCTCAGTTCCAGAGCCCTTGCCTTGCACCTATGAGGTTCTGGGTTTGCACCACAAATAAGTAAATGAATGAATGGATAAATAAATAAATAAATAAAGTTATAAAAAAACATAATATCCAAAATGTCTAGCCTCCCATCTAAAATTATTCAGCTTACCAAAAGACAGGGGTAATCCCATCTTAATTCAAAAAGGAAGAGACAGCAGATACATCAGTGTGATCTGATAAATACTTTAAAGCACCTATTATAAAATGGAAAGATGAAACATCTCAGGAGAGAAATGGAAAATGTAAATAAGAAATGAAAAATATACTAATCAAAATTAGACTTACTGGGTGGGCTTAAAGGGAGGATGGAAGTGACAGAGAAGAGAGTTGGTGACCTTGAAGATGAACAGGAATTGTCTAATGTGAACAACAGAGGAAGAAGGGGCACGGAGCCTCAGAGCCCTGTGGGATGGTACCAGAAGTCTGACAGGTACCATTAGGATCCCAAAAGGATGAAGCAAGTGGAGTGGAGGTACAAATATTTGAAGAAACAGTGGCTGAAAATGTCTCACTTTGGTGAAACTTATAAACCTGTGGACCATTGAAGTCAACAAACCCCAACATGGTAAACTCAAAGAAATCCCTGCCTGGGAGCTTCAGAAAAAACTGCTGAAAACTAAAGACAAAAAGAAATCTCAGAAAACAGCTAGAGAAGCACAGTGCGTAACATGCAGGTCAGAAGTGATCGGAGTGACTCTGACTTCTCAGAAGCATGGAAGCCGCGTGGCAGGGTGCAGGTGTTTTACAGGTTCTCAGAAGACTGTCAACCCAGAATCTCAGGTCCTGAGAGTAGCCTCCAGGACTGAGCGTGGAATGCTTTCTCATATGAAGGAAATCTAAGAGAATCTATTGTTAGAATTCTAAAAGAATTGTTCAGACAGATCCTCTACCAGAGGGACTTTGGAACCTGAGGAGTGAGGATGTGCGGTGGAAGGGGTCTAAGTGGAAACACAGTCAACTGTTCTCCTGAGCCCTGAGAAGTGCTTCAGTGGTCAGAAACACAACTAATAGGCGAGGCTTCCTCGACAGGACTCGGGGCTGTCTTGCTGTCGCTCCATCCTGGACCCGGGTGGCCTGGCCTCGGGGCTGTCTTGCTGTCTCTCCATCCTGGACCCGGGTGGCCTGGACTCGGGGCTGTCTTGCTGTCTCTCCATCCTGGACCTGGGTGGCTTGGCCTCGGGGCTGTCTTGCTGTCGCTCCATCCTGGACCTGGGTGGCCTGGACTCAGGGTTGTCTTGCTGTCGCTCCATCCTGGACCTGGGTGGCCTGGACTTGGGGTTGTCTTGCTGTCTCTCCATCCTGGACCTGGGTGGCTTGGCCTCGGGGCTGTCTTGCTGTCACTCCATCCTGGACCTGGGTGGCTTGGCCTCGGGGCTGTCTTGCTGTCGCTGCTCATCCTTCCCCAGCAGATACAATATGAGTAGGCGGAAGAATCGTCCAGTAACTTCCTGACGGGGTCATTTAGAACCTGGGTACAGTGACTTACCCCCCGTGGGAACAGGACGCCCGTTTCCCAGAGAACACCTGGTGTGGTGAGCACTGACTGAGCAGGACCGTGTTTGTGTCATTTTAGAGCTTAGTGACTTTCACAGACGTGGCCATAGACTTCTCCCAGGAGGAGTGGGAGTGGCTGAGCCCTGCTCAGAGGAGCCTGTACAGGAAGGTGATGCTGGAGACCTACCGGAGCCTGGTCTCCGTGGGTGAGTACCGTGCTCTCCCGCTCCCTGCCCAGCAGCCGGGCCTGCCTCTGTCGCCTTTCCCTCACTGTCCCTCGTCTTCAGGACCGTTGGTCCAGGGTCGTACTCTCGACTCTCCACAGCGTGGCCGATTTCATGTCTCATATGCAGGTCTCTGCATTTCTAAACCAGATGTGGTCCACTTACTGGAGCAGGAGAAGGAGCCCTGGACGATGCCAGGAGAAGTAGTCAGGGGCCTGTGCCCAGGTGAGTGCTGGGTGGTGAGAGGCTGAGTCTGTCCTCGAGTGTCTTCGCCGGTGTGTGTTGGAAAATCCCCTCACTCTCTCTCAAGTTGACACTTCTAGTGCCACTTTTGTGTGTGTGTGTGTGTGTGTGTGTGTGTGTGTGTGTGTGTGGTGCTGGGAATTGAACCCAGGGCCTTGTGCATGCGAGGCAGGCACCCTACCAACTGAGCCACATCCCCAGCCTCTGATCCCATGTTTTAAGAGCTCTTCTCTTCCCCACTGATGCTCTGTATGCGCCAGGGTCTCTTTCTGGACTTATGTTTATTGATGCTTTCCTAGTCATGCTCATGTTGTTATACTCACCCCTGCCCTTAAACATTTCTGAATTCTTTGACAAATTCATGTTTTTTTTTTTAATTTTTAAAATATTTTCTTTAAAAGATGATTTATTATGTTAACATGTATAATAGCTATAGTCTTTCTTCGGCCTGTAATTATTTTTCTCTTTGATGTTTCTTTTATTATTCTTATTTTGTTTATTATGTTTGTTTTTTTTTTTTTTCTTATTTGACTTCATCCCACACTACCTCTTGATTGGAAATATTTTTAGTTCTATAAGTTGTTACTTCTTTGTCTATATATTTTTTATCTGTATTTTAAACTTTATCCACCTGAAATTCAGAATATTTCCCTTGGTACTCCTAAGGAAGATGGAGAAATTAGTTCACGAGTGTTAACTCTTCCCATGTGTCCCATCCTTTCCCCTTGTACTGACTGGCATTTGGGGCTGTTTTCTTCAGAAAACTTTTTATTTCCTCACTTTGTGTTAGAGCGGTTTTTCTGGTTTAGAAACTTAGATAAAAGACACAAAGACATGGGGCTCAGTGGTAGTACACTTGCCTGGCATGTGTGAGGCACTGGGTTCAGTTCTCAGCACCGCGTATAAATAAAGCAAATAAAGGTATATCAACAACTAATATATATATATATATATATATATATATATATATATGAATGAAGTGGTGTTTGCCCATAACCAGCAACTTGGGAGGCTGATGCAGGAGGATTGCAATTCAAAATTAGCCTCAGCAACTTAGCAAGGCCCTAAGTAACTTAGTGAGACCCTGACTCAAAATAAAAATCATAAAGGGCTGGGGATGTGGCTCAGTGGTTAAGTGCCCCAGGGTTCAATCCCTGGAACAAAAACAAACAAACAAAAATAAAAGAATATTGGAGGGGAATGAGCCTCATGTGAGAGGGTCAAAGTTTATTCTGTGGCCTGTTGTGTGACCTCTTCCTGCTTTCAGTTCTCAGAGTTTCAAGAAGAGGATTGTTAGTAAGTCACATGTGGCCATAACTATGCACATTAATTGATAAGTAATTAAATAAGATCAAGGTAGTAGAAAAAGAACAAAGTGAATCTAATGAAAACCAAAATAACTCACATATAGTGACTTCTGCTTCTAAAGATAAAAGTGGGAATAAATGATTATAAAACAGATCTGATGCAAATAAATCAAATATGTGCCTCTTTAGAAAACCAGTAAAATATAAAAATCGTCAGGACAAATGATTGAAAACATAAAAACCCAAAAATATATAAGGAAAAACACAATCATATGCATCTGCTTTCCTCAACCCTCTAATTAATTTGAAAACCTGGATGAAGGAGAATCTAAAGTGGCACAGCTGACACCATGAGAGAGAGCATCTGAACAGACCATTTCTGCCAGCAAATTGCAGGAAATCGCCTGTGGATGCCTCTCCCAAGAAAAGAGGTCGCAGCCTGAAACAGTTTTGTGAGTCTATCTAAGAGACCCTTAGGGAAAATATAACCATCATCTGAAACATTCAGTTTAGAAAATAAAAAGAAGAGCTTGAAAAATGATTGATGAAGACAGCATAATGTTTGATGCTGAAATCTACCAAAAGCACCAGAAAAAGGAAACCACAGACAAATTCCCATTGTGAGTGTTGGTGTGAAATCTTGACTAGAAGGTGCCGCAGTAAGTACCCCGGCCACCCAGGGTCTGTCCCGGAGTGCTGGGGTGGCTGTGTCATCTCAGCTGGCGTCGCAAACAGCAGATGCAGGTGCTTCCTGTGGGCATCATGGTTGATTCACATACTTTCATTTTGAAGGTTTCCATTCTTCTAGCACTGCATAAAGGACATATTTGTTTTCTTACTACCTTTCAGACCTGGAGTGTGTGGGGGTGACCAAGGAATCATCTCCACATCGGGACATGCACGAGGAAAAATTATCCCAGGCTGCAGTAATGGAAAGACTGACAAGCCGTGACCCTGAGTGTTGTGCACATTCTGGGGAAGACTGGAAGTGTGGACCCTTGCTGGACAGGGAGCTGGTAGGTCAGGAGACAGTCACTCATGTGGATACCCATGTTGAGAAAAGAGACCGTTCTACCAAATCCAGAACCCATTGTCATCAGAATACAGTGTCTTACATAACACAGATTGTTCCCAGGGGGCAGAGAAGGTGTGATTTTGATACAGATAAGAAAACACATTCAGTTCCCAAAAAACCCAAGCAAGTCTACGGAGAAAAGAAACTTTTGAAATGTAACGACTGTGAGAAAATGTTCAGCAAAGTTTCGACCCTTACTCTTCATCAGAGAATCCACACTGGGGAGAGACCCTATGAGTGTGCCGAGTGTGGGAAGGCCTTCAGCCAGAACGCCCACCTTGCCCAGCACCGGCGAGTCCACACGGGAGAGAGGCCCTTCGAGTGTGCCCAGTGTGGGAAGGCCTTCAGCCAGAACGCTCACCTGGCGCAGCACCGGCGGGTCCACACCGGGGAGAGGCCCTTCCGCTGCCCGCAGTGCGCCAAGGCCTTCGGCCAGCCCGCACACCTGGCGCAGCACCGGAGGGTGCACACGGGGGAGAGGCCCTTCCAGTGTGTGCAGTGCGGGAAGGCCTTCGGCGACCGCTCCTCGCTGGCCCACCACCGCAGGGTCCACTCTGGGAAGAGGCCCTTCGGGTGCGCGGACTGCGGGAAGACCTTCAGGCAGAAGGCCTCCCTGGTGCGGCACCAGCGGTACTACCACAATGGGGAGAAGCCCTTCCACTGCGCGGACTGCGGGAAGGCCTTCACGGACCATGCAGGCCTCCTCCAGCACGGGAGGGTCCACACCGGGGAGAGGCCCTACAGGTGCGGCCAGTGTGGGAGGGCCTTCAGCCACAGCTCGTCCCTGACCGTGCACCAGCGGGTCCACACGGGGGAGAAGCCTTACCGGTGCGCCGCCTGCGGGAAGGCCTTCAGCCACCGCGGCTCGCTCACGCTGCACCGGCGAGTCCACACGGGCGAGAAGCCCTACGCGTGCCAGGACTGCGGGAAGGCCTTCCGGCAGAGCACCCACCTTGCCCACCACCGGAGGGTGCACACGGGCGAGAAGCCGTTCGCGTGCCAGGACTGCAGCAAGGCCTTCAGCCAGAACTCACACCTGGCGCAGCACCGGAAGGTGCACACCGGGGAGAGGCCTTTCGCGTGCCGGGCCTGCGGCAAGGCCTTCAGCCAGATGGCACACCTCGTGCAGCACCAGCGGGTGCACACTGGCAGAAGGCCCCACGAGTGTCCTGAGTGTGGGAAGGCCTTCGGACAGAGGGCATCCCTGGTCTGTCATGGATGCCGTCACACCGGCGAGCAGCCTTTCGAGTGTGGCGTTTGTGGGAAAGCCTTTAGCCATCGTAAGTCCCTGGCTCTGCATCAGAGAGTCCATGCGAGAGAGGCTGCATGACTGTAAGGACCGCAGCAAGGCCTTCAGCCAGGTGGCCCCTCTGACTCGGCATCAGAGGACCCACACTGGGGAAAGGCCCTACTGTGCGCAGCCTGCGGGAAGGCCTTCAGGCAGAGTGCGCATCCTGCCCACCTTCGGTGTGCGAGCTCCGCAGCCGCCTCCCCAGCCCTTCCCCGCTCCCCGCGCCGGGCCACCAGGTCCCCGGGAGCCGTCCTCCAAGTGCCTCTAGGCTTCCGTTTCCAGTCCGCTACCCAATTTCATTTGGACTTCTACAGTGTGGCATGATTCCAGCTCAATCTTTTAAAATAAAAATACATGTTCCTGTTTCTTTTCCATTTAAAACACTTTAAAAAACAGAGGAGGTCATCTTTTTAAGGGTTTGCACACAGTCCTGACATACAGTTGGCACTACATAAATGCTAGTCATTTAGGTAAAAGTTTTCTTACAACTATTTTCAAAAAAGAGAACCATAGGTCAAGGTAAGAAACCTGCAGCTTTAGAGCAGACTGGAACCTCCACTCTCCCTGAGTCATGAGTACTCTCAGAATGAAAGGTTCCCACGCATAAGGTAACAGGGTGGCTCCCCTCTCCTGTAAACATGTATGTGCAGGCAGTAGCCCAGGTGTTCTTTCTTCACTGTGACTTAGAGAGTAAGCCAGTTAGAACAGAAGCTTCTGGAAGCACACTGGACTAGCCAGTGGGTAGTGGTAGTAAAACTGAGAAGGAAGCTTCGATAGGTTAGTAGCCATGAAAGAAAACACATATACACACACACAGTAGCACAGACAAGTTCTGGAGTATTTTAATGGCTGTAGAACATTGAAATACTATAATAATACCAAGGTGTATGCCTTTAATCCCAGTGGATTAGGATGCTGAGGAAGGAGGATTGCAAGTTTTAGGCCAACCTCAGCAACTTAGTGAGGCCCCAAGAAACTTAGCAAGACCCTGTCTCAAAAACTAAAAAGGGCTGGGGCTGTGGCTCAGTGGCTAAGCACCCCTGGGTTCAGTCCCCAGTACCAAAACAACACCAAATTCCCCCTCCAGGGGAAAAAAAAAAAAAAAACCTGCATTAAAATTTCCTATCTTGTTCCTGAGATTGACAAGACATACCCAAACAGAAATACTGCAATTAATTCTGAATATAGATGTTGAATTTTTAAGATAGTAAAAAGTTACCAGGAGCAGTGGTGCACAAGTATAATAATCCCAGTGGCTTGGGACACTGAGGCAGGAGGATCTCAAGTTTGAGATCCTCAAAAGGGTGGGGATGTAGCTCAATGGTAAAGCTCCTCTGGGCTCACTCTCCAGAAAAAGAAAACTCTCCAAAAAAAGAAAAAGTTGGAAGGCTAGTCATGCTTCTATATAGAAATACTCAGTTGGGTAAAGCTATTTCTCCTCCAGTTAAATATGCAGATTTATTGGTATTACAATATAAATCCCAATATTTTTTAAGGTGACATTCTTGAGTCCAACAAATCTGCCTAGATTTGTGGTTATAGAGAGAAATGTAGTTTGGGTTAGAAATTAGCGATCATTCAGTTGATGTTAACTGAGCACTTACTAATGTGCCAGGCACAGTTTTAGGTAGTGGAGATGGGCTGGAGTAGGAGGTAGACAAAAACTGTACCTCACAGACTGGTGGGAGAGAACAAAAGCTTAAATACTATTTGACAAACACAGGTGCCACAGAGAGCCACCATCTAAGGAAGGTGCTAGGGAGTGCTGGGTGTGGGTGCCTGCTCCTCAGACACAGGGGCTGTGGAGTGAGAGGTGTTGAAGGGAGATCTGGGACACCGTGATGGAGAGGCTGTGGGGGAATTTCCTCTTGGTAGCAGCCCTGTTGAGAAATTATTCACAGGCCATGCAATTTTGGATAAGACCCCCGTGCCGCCATCAGCAGAAGTAAAGAGGAACCTCCAGGCGTCACAGGAACTAACAATGCGTGGCTCAGTGTATTAAGAGTTGTGTCGCTGTCACCACAATTTTAGAATCTTGTCACTCCCAAGTGAAGTCCTGTGTGCTCTAGCAGTTAACCTATCCCTGGAGGGGTATATTTTCTGGAGCCCCAAAGCTCTTGGGTCTTCTCTTGGATGCTGCCTCTGACAGTATAGAGGTCCCTGTGAAGGAAGCTCTTAACCAGAGCACCTGGCTGCTAGAGAAATGGAGATTTCCAGCGCTCTCCCTTCCTCCTCCTTTTTTTTTTTTTTTTAAAATCTTTTCTGTCTTTATTTAGTGCTTGGGACTGAACCCAGGGATGCTCTACCACTGAGCCACATCCCCAGCCCCTTTTTAATGTTTTGAGACAGGGCCTCACAGTTGCTTAGTGCCTCCCTGAGCTGCTGAGGCTGGCCCTTGTACTTGGTATCCTCCTGCCAATCTCCTGAGCTGCTGGGGTGACAGGTGTGTGCCACTGCTCCTGGCTCAAGCTCCTCTTCACATGTGATCCAGGGTACAGGCCACAGGATGAGCAGCCTCATGCAGAGCATATATAGCCTTCAGATTTCCTGTGGATATGAAAAATGATTGTTCACTGCAGTGTAGAGGAGATGGATTGATTAAATGGTATTGGTACCCTAGCTCACTGGAAAAACTTGACCTGTACTTTGTACAGTAATGGAAACCTAAAAGATTAAGGTTTTGAGTGTAATATGTTAAAGTACAAGAAAGAGGTAGAATAATATTTCTATACCCTTGGTTTGAGTCAGACCTTGAGCATTACACATAACCCAGAAGCTGACATTAGGCTGTACAAAATTTATGAGGTGAGAGAACTAATGTTTGCCATATATGTAACAAAGGGCCATTCCCTGACTCAAAGCACCGGTACAAATTGGTAATGGCAACATCTGCAACTTAGGACCATGAGAAGCTAACTCAAGTAATGTATGTGCTTCAATTTTAAATAATAGAAGAATGATAATTCCGGTATAGGTGAGTGCATGGGAAGTAGGAAGTCCACTGTTCGTTACGCGTACATACTACGCGAATCCGTATTTCTCAGAAACAAAAGTGTACAAGCAGAGAAAAACATACAGTGGCCAAAAAATCAATGGTGAACTATTAGAAACAACGCCTGAGTGCCCATCATGAAATTTCATGGTGTATTCATTCAGTAGAATCTATGCAGCTGTTAGGAAAATAGATGTAAATGCACATATAGACATGAAAGAGAGCTACGTGAAAACGACACCGAGAGGACCTTGCGCGGTACAGTACGAACTCGGCGTCGGAAACACGATGCGGCGCTGAAGGCACGTTTCTCCGTGCAGTGTCCCTTGCCTCCGTCCGCATCTTTTCAGCTGAGTAACTGGCCCTGCTCTACCGCGTGGTTCCGAAGGACCTGGCCAATCACATTCTTGCTGGAGTTGGAAAGGCAGTTGGCACTGCTCTCTCCTTTTCAACCTTTGGTAATGGGAATTTTGAATCCAGGGGTGCTGCACCACTGAGCTGCGCTTTCTTTTATTTTGAGGCAGTGCCTAAGTTGCTGAGGCTGGCCTGGAACTTGAGCTCCTCTGGCCTCAGCCTCCCGAGGTGTCACCGTACGTGGCTCTCTGTTGGTATCTCAGGAAGGCAAAACTGCACCAAGTTGATTAAAGAGCTAATCTGTTTTCATTTTCTATTTGAGAGTGGGGCAGCAGGTCAAAAAGGAGTGTCGTGGAGAGCTCAGGCGAGGAGTGGGTCGGGCTTACACGAGGAAAGGGCGGGGACAGCAGACCCCAGTGGGCCAGAGGTCCGGTCACTTTCTCCGTGAAGGGCAAAGCTCAGGGCACGTCCCAGGACTGCCAGCCCAGCCTGTGTCTGCACCTGGCCCTCCCGCTCGCTCCTGGCGTCCGGGGAGCGCGGACGGCCCGCCCCGGCGGCCTCCGGGAGACGTCTTCAGCAGCCTGGGCTCCGGGCTCCTCTGCATCTCGGTGGTTCACACCGGTCCTATCAAGAAGCCGTCCTCCAGCCCAGCCCGCCGGCACCGCAGCCGGTCCTCCCTCCTTCCCCAGCTCCCTCCCGCCGGCCTTCTCCCCCGCCCCCATTCCTGCCCCTCACGTCCCGGTCCCTGCGCCCACCGCGCCCCACCCGCTTGTCACTGGACCCGCGGAGGCCTCGGGGAGACGGGGGAGCGCCCTGCGGCCTCGGCTCCGCTCGGGTTCGCCCGGCCGCGCGCGGGCTTCTGGGAGGTGTAGTCCGGCCTTGTCCGCGCAGGCGCACCGCGGCCTGGAGGGCCTAGCGGGTGCGGTCATTGTCCTGGCACGTTTCGCAGGTGAGTCCACCCTCTACGCGGCCGCAGTCGATCCGGCCCCCGGAGGGGACAGACTTGGGGATAGGGCGTCTATGCGGGGAGAGGGATGAGTATGCAGGAGAGGGCGTGCACGCGGGTAGAGGGACGAATATTCAGGAGAGGGCGTGCACAAGGCGAGGAGCTGCTTGCGGGGAGAGGGCGTGCACGCGGCGAGGGGGCGTGTATGCGACGAGGGGGCGTGCACGCGGCGAGGGGCGTGTACGCGGCGAGGGGGGGTGCACAGGGCCGGGGGGGGGGGGGGCGAGTGTAGGGACTGGGGAGGGAGTAGAGACAGGAGAGAGCGTGTTTGTTCAAGGTTCTGCAGTGTCTCAGTGCAGGTCTGCTTGGGGGACTGGGTGGCCCTGCCTTTGTGTGTGCGCCAAGGTCCTTCATACACAAACGCTTCATCAGAGTCCTTGTCTCTGTGTGAGGACGTTTCCGCTGGTACCCTCGGCCCGAGTCTCTGGTGTGATCTCTGTCCCTGGTGTCTCTGCGCTGCCCTCTGGGTGTCCACCTGTGTGTGGCTTTTCCTTCTGTGTCTGGGGGAGCGGGAGTGTCGCCTGAGTGTTTCTGGGTGTGAGTGCCTGTCTGGGTGGGTGCACACGTGCAGGTCCGTGTGCTCCTTCCACGGTGTGTGTGCCAGCCCGTGGGCGCCTGAGCCTGGGGCCTAGAGAGCCACTGCCTCCGGCCCACACTTCTCCTAGTCCGCCTCCCGGCCTCCCCCTACTGTCCCTGGCCTGGCGAGGATGGGCTGGAGGGGCGGGTCCTGGGCGTGCAGGGGGTGTGTGAAGGACTGGGCGGGGCTGCAGCTTCTCCCTCTGCCTCCCAGGGGCGTGCCTGAAGGGCCGCTCGCTCTTTTCCCACAGGAGTCCTCTCTCCGGAGGGTGTCGAGCTGGTGTCGGTCTGGGCACTTTTCCAGGGCTCCTGAGATTGTCTTACACACGGGAAACCGAGGCTCCGACGTTAAGGGGGCCACCCAAGGCTGCGCCCAGGCATCCAGGTTCCAGGGCCCCCTTTCCCTTCCTGCTCAGCTGAGACAGGTTACAGGGTTTCCCTAAGGGAGGCTCCCTTGGAAACTGGAA